TTCTTTCTTTCTTTCTTTCTTTCTTTCTTTCTTTCTTTCTCTCTTTCTTTCTTGTATCACTTATCAGCCATGTTTCCTGTTTGTTGCTGTCTTCTCTGAATGCAGTTCTAGGAGGTGGGAAAGTTCTGGTGTTGAGTGGATGTTGATTGGGTAGGTGAGTGAGTGCATCCCCCTCCTCCCTTAGACAGACACACACACCTCCACTCACCTCCACGTGCTGGCAGTTTCAACACCAAATACTCCGGGCTTAACACAGAGACATTCCACAGCCTTTCTGTATCCCTGAGTCTTGCCCTGAGACACCTGCTAGCCAGACATTACCATTCTTCCATCCCAACAGAATCCACCACACATACCTGCAGATTCATCCCTGTGAACTCCAGACTCCACCCTCCTCTCCACTCAGTTTAGCCTGAGACCCAGGCAGACTCACACATGCAGACTTTGAGCTTTGCCTTCTACTGAGAGCAACTGACGGCCTAGGTGGTTGGGAAGCTAAGACCTCCCCGGGGCTGCCATGAAAAAGCCTTTCCATATACGTTGTCTCTGATGTTCCCACCACTCCTGAGCCCTGCGTGCCTGGTGCTGTGACACAAGGGGACACTTGAGGCTAGGCTGGAGTCTCCCCACACCAAGTCAGAGAGCTTAAAATGCTGATTCCCAATGTCTCCTCCAGATAGACAGTCTTCTCTAGAGACCAAAGGACAGACAGTGTTTGTGGCTTTGTGGGGGACGTAGGAATCCGATGTAAGTTTCTGGGGGCGGGGTAGGGGAGGGGGTCAGTACAGATTAGAACCCTGGGTGGTCTTACCCACAGATACACATACACGCTACATGCCACTGTAGGGACAGATCATGGAGGAGCAAAAGCCTCAGGCAGATGGCAGAGCCCAGCAGACAGACATGAGGCGGGGAAGCAAATGGGAAGTTGTCAGCCTCTAGCCTAGTGCGGAGAATATGAAGCGGTGGAAATGGGTTTGGGAAGGAAGGGGGACCCGAGTGAGGTGGAAAAAGTTGCCTCCCTGCATAGCTCCCCAAACCAGGCTGCTTTGGTCTACAGACACCAGCCCTTCGAGTAGCCGTGTCTGGTTTGATGGCGGACAGGCTGTACTGCTCGGCAGGGCTGGTCCCCGCGGGTTCCTCCCCTGCAGGGGGGTGCTAACTGAGCCCCAGGCACAGTTTAAACTGCAGGCTACCCTGCTCTCCCTGAGATTTTCTTGTCTGGTTATAGTTAATGCTAGAGCGTCGTGTGGAGGCCAGGGAAAATGTCAGAATCGCCCCTTTCCATTTGGGAGGAGAGGAAACCTAACATCCCGCAGTCCTGGTGTCAGAGGCTGTGGAGGGGGGCTGCGCACATGATGCAGGGTGATAATCAGGTTCCATACCCTTTAATTCAAATCCAAGGTGCTCTGGCAGTGCGGAACAAAGGGGAGTGAGGGGGGCCGGGGAGAGAATGAGAAAGAAGGGGAGGGGAGAGAGAGAGAGAGAGAGAAAAAACGTTGGTCAGAACTCTTCAGACACTGGGCAGCCAGCCTGTGAGGTGAAAGCAGGTTAGTATGCCCCCTCCCGGCCTCCTGAGCTCCTTCCCTGGCCCCTAGTCCCTGAGAGCCCCAAAAGGCAAGAGAGAGGCCATGTTAGAACTGGCAGGCAGGAAAGGATCTTTAGAGGTGAGCAGTGGAGTTAGTACCTGGTGAGAAGGCACAGGCGCAAGAGTCGGTTGGCAAAGTCCCCTGGAGCAGAGGACGAGTTGGGGGGGGGGTCCCAGGAGGAGTGCCCAGTCCCCTCCTGGTTCTAGCTCCCACCCTTCGGCATCCCCAGTCCTCCTGAAGTCAGTCTGCCCTACTTCTACTTCTAGCTCATTCTTGGAGGTCCTTTTTATCTGTTGGAAATGGATGTGTCACGTCTCTGGACCAGCCCCGCGTCCCTGCCTTGTGCCATAGGCCTAGCTGGCCTGGTCTAGCTCCTGGCAGCCCGGGTGCAGAGCTTCGGTGACTTAGGGGAGAAGAATGGGGAGAGAAGACTCCAAGAAGCAAGTCATTGCTCCTCTTGGCATTCCATATACCCCAGGCTCCTAGGGTTGGGCTGTGGTACCCAAACCCAGCTCACTGTTTAGGAGAGCATCTACAACTCAGAGCACAGGAAGAGTGAGTTGTCTGTGGAACATGCATACTTCTTACACTATAGGCAAATTACAGTGTTGGAAGTGAGGTCATTACCTGAATGTGTGTGTTCGGGCCTTTGAGAGGTGGATGCTTACAACATTGAGAGATTAAATAAAAGGGCTTTGGTCTAAGGGTCAGCTCTGGCAGTCACAGTCACCATTGTCTGTGACTCTGAGAGATGCCCAACCTATCTAGGTCTCAGTCTCTCAGCTGCGATGGGGGGAACCAAGCCTTGCCATGGGGTCCTGGGAGGTCTGAAAACCTGACTGTGCTTCAGAACCGTTCAGGCCAATGGGAGAAGGTCTGGGAGGGAGCCCAGAAATCTCGGTGGTGTTGAAAGACCTGCTTTTCCTTTTCGGCACAGCCTGCTCTGGTCTACAGAGCTGGGTCTCTGTTTCATCCCTAACTTGCTATGTGGATGTGGGTGATCCATGAGTCTGTTCTCTCCAAAGTACCAGTACACAGAGGCAGATGTGAGCAGGCCTGGCCAACAGGAGGTTAGGACTTGTGTGTGCCAGGGCCCCTGCTCACACCTGCCTGGGCACACTCCCTCACTGACTCTCACATCAGTCACCTAGACCTGGTGAGGGTGTGGCTCTGGGCTTGACTTCTCGTCTGCCATGGAGGAAGGGCGCCCCGAGAATTATCTGGTCCATTTCTTTGTGCTTTCTGGAAGGGATTCCAGAGGGTTCTGCATTTGGAAAGAGCAGGAGAGTGGGTGACTCTGAGCCAAAGACCAAGAAGGTCTTGATCCCAAGAATCTTGAGGAAGATCCTGGGGTTTTGACTGGACCAGTTCTGTGCAGAGGCCACACCAAGGAAGAGAGGACTTCAAACAGAAGCCCCCTGCACGTCTACCACTCTGAAACTGGGGAGATGTTGAGAATTTGCTTTCTTTTCAGTTTGTTCTGACTGCTTGAAGCCCTAAGTGCCGTGTAGGGTCCTCTTTGGCTGGATCAAAGGGTCACAGAGAGGCTCCTGAATAGCATGCCCTGGAGCCTAGGACTTGGAAGCACTCAGGACAGTGTTTCTGATGTCCAGCCACGCTCACCTGAGGGACAGAAGACCAGCTTCACCAGTTCTAAGTCCTGGTCCTCAGCTCACTTTCAGACAAAGTTGGTAAAGCCTATGGGGCAGCTAGTGCCCCACGATGCCAGGATACTTTCTCAAGACGATGCAGGAAATCGGGAGGCAGAGACTGGAAGGGATTGTGGGCTTAAGCTACGGCTGTTCCTGCTCAGGCTTGTCTGACTATTTCTGAGGATGGCGGCCTCCTGGAGAAGCGATCAAGTCTCTCAGAGCTCTTTGAGAATGTTCTTCCAGGTCACTTCTCTGGGAACCAAACGGTGTCATGTGACTCCCAGGGCTTATGGTTAGGGTAAGCCAGTGGTAGCTGGCACGATTGATGAGGTCACTGAGTTTGGCCAGTCACTAGGTAGATGACTTTCTTCCTGGGAAGCCTGAGACAGGTGCTGAGGGATCTACAGCCATGTCTGTGGCAGTTAGGAGAGCAATCTCTTACTCAAGGTTTTTTTTTTTTTTTTTTTTTTTTTGCATGGCACTCAGCCAGGATGGGGTGGTACCACTGAGTCTCAGGCCAGAAATGTTCATATTGACCAGTAAATTAGATGCTGGATTTCCAGCAGGGCTAGGCTTCTTAGGAAATATGCAAATTTATTGTCTCGGACATAACCAACGGCAGTCATAAGGTGCCTGGATGAGGAGACAGTGATGTATGTGCTGATGTGAGCACATGCTCCTGTATGTGTGTGTGTGTGTGTGTGTGTGTGTGTGTGTTTATGCATGTGTGTGAATGTGTGGTTATACACATGTGGGACACAGATGGGCCAGCTTTCCCTTTCAGGAGGGCAGGGCCTGTAGTGCAAGAAACTTCAAAGTGCTATTGGGGTCAAAGGCTGTTTTCTTAGTCTCTGAAAGTCTTGCCTGGTTTTGAGGTGGTCTGGGTAGACAACAGGGTCAGACACTTGGCTCAGCAATGCTGGGAGGCATCCTCCGAGGACCAGGCCTCTTCCTGCCCTCCTCCTTGCCGTCGATAGCTGGGAGAGATCCTAAATTGCCCTCTAGTGATATGGCGGCTCTCAGGCGAGCCTCTCCCGTATATCGCTTCATCTCCACGGCTGCCTTCTAGGCGTGGATGCCTCTCTCCTCATTCTACAGGCTTGAGAACAAACCCAGAACACTTCAATGAGGCCCAGGACTAGGGATCTCGGCATCTGGCCCTTCTGGATGGGCAGCTGGGGACTTCAGGGGGTACAGGATGATGTCTTTGTACTCATTATGTACTAGAACATCATGAGGGCCTGCAGGGAACAGGCTTGAAGAACAGGACTTCCGCATAAAGGCACCTGTATGGTACCGATGACACAAGAGGACAGCTGAGGACTGCGTTTGCAGGCTCGCTTTTGGGCTCCGAGGGCCCCGCTGAGCCTTCCAGAAGACAGAGGCTAGGCTGACATGATCTAGCTGGCCGAGGGGCTTTGCACAGTAGCCCATGTTCCCGAGGCTCTGCTGCTCTCTGATCTAGGGCTAGCTGGAACTGCCTGTCCAGAACAGTTTTCCAAGCTGTGGAGGCTCTTAGCCAAGGGTGGAAAGGAACAGGACCCCCAGGGCCTCTCTCACCGGGGCCCAACCTGGCCCATCTGCTCTGTCTTTGCCTGGGACTCCCTCTGCCCCGGAGATCTCCACACAGGCTGGATCTGATTTTGAAATTCTCCCAGAGCTTGAGTTCTACAGAATTCTTTCGGGCTACATGTCTTGCTCACACATTGTGCCTTTATCCCCTCTTCCTCCATGGCCTGTGACTGGAGGGGTCTGGAGAGAGCACTCCCTCTCATATTATAGACAGAGGTGACTGCCTGGGTCTACCAGCCCTCACCTGCTGGGGCCCAAATGCTCCTTCTAAGGACAGTAGATATATTTCTGGGCTTTGTCCTGGGGTCTGAGGACAGTTGTGAGGTTTTCCTTTTCCACCCTGAGACCCAAACACTAAAACTCTTTTTCTGATATGCTACCTACGGGCCCCTGGGTTTCGCTTTTGGTATTTTTATGAGTCTTCCTTCCCAACACTGAAGTCCCCTTTGGGTTCTCTGGTTCCTTACTGCCCGCAGGACCCAGATGTCCTCTCTAAAAAGGAGCAGGGGGCTAGTCTGCTCTGCAGGATGGGACGGGTGACGTGGTTCCGATCTTGAAGACCAACAGACCACAGGGCTCCAAACCAATTGGGTCTGTGACTGTCCAGAGGCCAACTGCTCTGTTCCACCCCACCTGGCGGTGCTTGTAGGAACTGCTCCCAGGCGCCAGTGAAAACCCACTATTCCTAGCCAAATCTCCCCCAGTGTGGAAGAAAGAAAGGAGATGGGATCCTGGACGGTGTTCAGACTAGACAGGTCTCGGGAAGAGTCACCAATTTCCCCCTGAGTCTGTTAGCATCTGCCACAGCCCTCAGTCCACCTCAGCCTGTAACTCTACAAACGTCTCCGGCCTCCATGGGAACCACTGTGCAAGGCCCTCTCTCTTTCACTCAGCCCTCTGCCTTGGTCCTGGAACCCCAAAACAAACCTGGCCAGACCAGAAGACAGGCTTTTGAGACCTTTTCCCCTCTCTCAAATGTACCCGCAGAAACATGCACACACTCACTGCCTGGCCGATCAGCAGCCTGACACCAGAGGCAGAGGAGGCCCTACAAATGCCTCTTCCTCCAGCTGGCAGGCTGCCTGATCCCAGAAGAGAGGAGAGGCCTGGACACGGCCCTGCTGCTGCAGAGGATTCAGCATGACTATTCTCAGGCGATCCAGGTGACTTACGGGGATCAGTGGGGAGCCAGGGGTGTATGCCTCCTCTGCAGGGGCTACTGGTAAGCACTGAGGACCGAGAGGAGCTCAGGACACCCTTGTTCCCTCCAAGTCTTGGTAAGTAAGGCCCCCATCCCTCCCACACGGGGAGACTGGCAGTCACCAGGGAAGAAAAGGAATAGAAGAAGAGACATACTGGAGAAGTTGACCATTGCGAACTGCTGACACCTGTCCCCGGTGTATCCCACAGGACACCTACCAAAAGAAAGAAAACCAGAAAGAGAGAGCCAGGATAGCAAGACACAGGCATTGCAACACCCCGGCACAGGCTCCTGCCAACGCCAGCTAGGCTCCTCGCCACGGTTACCATTTGTCCTGGCCTTGTCGCTCTGCCCCTTACCTGCAGCCCTGAACTTTAAACCCAAGGATTAGGCCAAAAAAAAAAAAAATGAAAAACAAAGCAAAACAAAACAAAAAAACCAAAACAAAAAGAACTAACAAACCAAAGTACGAAAAAGAAAAGGTAAACAAAACGTAACAGCCGAAGATCAAAACAACCAACACCCCTGACCCTACGCCCTACATTGGGGGACTGCACCCGGAAGCTTTCTAAGGAGCGGGGACTTGTGTTTGTATCTTCAAACATACTTTGCTTAGGATCTGGCATGTACAATCGCAAAGGCAGTTTCTCCAAACATCTCTGTCCGAAGAATCCGTTTGGACATCTGGAGAAGGAAAAGGGGAAAAATCACAGAACAAACTGGCATCATCCACGAGGCTAAAGGTTAGAAATCAAAGTGCGCAGTGATGAATGAGAAAACCAAGTCAGGCACTTGGGGTCACACTCGTAGCTGAAGGGGCTGGAGTTGGGGGCTGGGTGGAGGGCTCTGTCGTCTCCTAGCAAACGCTCTAATCCATGTGGCTCTGTGGGGGGCGGGGCAGGTGGGGTGGGGCAGGGAGGAAAATGAGTTAGGGAAGTTGGGTGGGGGGAAGTGGGGGGTAATTGACTAACTGTCCTATTGGTTGGGGACCTATCCTTCTTACCTGCCTGGTGAGCCAGCAAGCCAGAACTGTAGCCTCTGGGTGCCAGGCAGCTAGACTTATGGGATACAAGTTCCTGATGTCCTCCAGGCTCTGCTGAAGGATTCTCTCCAGGACGCTGGGCAGGCTTCCTCCTCTATGAACAGCTCCCAGAAAACTCAAAAGTAGAATTCTGCTAGGCTGTTCTCACACTGTGTGCTCATGGCCAAAGGGACCTAGGAGGTATTTGATCTGTTCTCTCAAAGAGGGATCTGTGAGCCAATATGTTTGGGAAATCCATCCCCCAGGGCTCCTGTAGAGTGGCAGTCTCCGTTAGCGTAGGAAGGGTTATGAAAAGCTTTGGAGGCGATAATAACTAAACTCTACAAACTTATTTGACCAAGGACGTTTTGTTTGTGTATTTTAAGACAGGGTCTCATGCTATAGCTCTGGCTGGCCTGGAACAGAAGGCACTTTTTAGGAGGACCCTTGCAGGGCATAATTTGGAGAAGTTGTCTTAGAGCAGTAGATGCGGGGGAAGGCAAGCTGGAGAGAGGTGGGATTGCCAGTGTCCTAAAGCTACCTTCCAGACACCTGGTGCAGGGGGAGGTTGGATCAGGCTAACTGTGGCCCCTGGGAACCTGTTCTGTACAGCATCCGGCTGGAAGCCAGCCTTGGCCTGCCTGCCCTTTCCTGGGGACCTGTTCTTCCACTGTGGCCCGGCTTTGGCCTAGATCTCCCTGCACTTGGCCTTCCTCGCCACTCCGAGGCACCACCCATCCGCCCCTTCTCTCTGACCTTGTCATGCCCGCAAGGTACACTTCCTTCTGTTCTCTGGCTGCCGCCTCTCCCCTTAAGCAAGTCCCAGTTTCGTAGATTTCTAGGAGACATGCCCAGTCCTGTCCTTTCTCCTGAACCCCAGGAAGGCCAGTTACCTAGGGAGAACCCCCACAGACAGGGCTGCTCTGACCCTAATGCATGTCTCTCTTCGGAAACAGGTCTCTGTTGCCCTGGCCTGCATTCCCCTAGGAGCTAGGGAAACCCCATCAGCAGTAACCCCTCAGTACCAGGTTACTGTGCAACGTTAGTCAACCTAGACTTCCTCAGGAGGTGAGGATTCTCTGCCTTAGCCTTCTTCTGTGTGTAACAAGGGGGCCCTTGGCCTTTTGAGAGATGCTGGCCATTGGCTAGGATAGATAATTGTGAAAACTCCGTGGCCTCTAATCTGGAGGAATAGGGAGTGGGGGTGGCTGGTGGACACAAAGCTGGAGTTTCTTTGGGCCTGTGCTATCTCCCTGGGTTGGGGACGGAGGGAGAGCTGGCCATTGTAGTGGCGGAGCGTGGGTGCACATGTGCCTGGCCAGTTGGAGGTCTGGCTGGGAAGTCCAACTGTTAGAGGTGGGCAGCAGCAAAGCATGCTTACCCTGTGAGAGGGTGGCTTAGGGAAAAAGGCCCTCTTCAGTCTCTCTGATCCCTGACCCTCGTCCCTAGTCATTTTAGCCCAGGAAGATGGAGGAAGTGGCTGAGGCTTCCCAACTGACCACAGCCAGGCCCAGCTCTTCTTCCTCTGCTCCTGGGCCCTCGATGTGGGGGATGGGGATTAGAAGCAGGTGAAGTGATTCTTTTTTAAACGGAAGCACCTTTGGGAGTAAAGGATGAAGACCCAGAAGTTGCCAAAATGACTCTTGGATTCTACAAAGTAACAGGAAAGGACTAGGCTTGACTGTGTCCATTGTCTGCCTCTAGCTGGGCTCTTAGAGTCGGAGAAATCAGTGTATGCAAATGCATGGTGTGAGTGTGTGTGTGTGTGTGTGTGTGTGTGTGTGTGTGTGTGTGTGTGTAAGAACAGTGGGGTGCAGGGGCAGAAAAGGACAAAGGGGAACTTATTTGACATCAGGGCTGCTGTCCCATGAGTCTTGGAGACCAGTGACAACTATAAACACACCTCTGTGTCTCTGTCCCATACTCAGCCTGGAATAGTCTGACTGCCTGCTCAGGGCTATGAGTTGCACAGTTCCAGGTGGCACCACTGGCTGGTCCACAACACACATGTACTATGGTATTTGTGCAACGTTCTGGTGCTAGCCTCACACCTGTCTGTGAGAGGGATGCTCCTCCTCGCTGGATAAAGAAGAGGCTTTGGGGGATAGGGTGGTCAGGGTGGGGAAGGACTGATGGCCAGTGCTATCCTTGGGGGGGGTACTAGCTCCTTTAGGGGTTCCTGGATACTCCTATTCCTCTCTGCAGTCCTGTGTGTGGAGAGTCATCCTCTTTAGAGAAGGTTCTAGGCCTGAGCATGGCCTTTGACCTTTCTGCCCCTCAGCCAGACCAGGGTAGCAGGAGCCAGGGGAACCTTATCAGCATGATAGGCGTCTGCACTGGGTGTGAGTGGCCGACTGGTGTCAGGTTAGTGGCTCCCGGTCACACAGGGCTAACCTGTGAGGTCCAGGGCAATAGGGGATAGGTTGGAAGGGGCAGCAGGCCGCACGCAGCCTTCCTAGACCTTCCTGCAGGCATCCCCTCTGACTCTGAGAAGGTCTGAACCTGGGGCTGGAGAAGAGCAGGGGTGAGAAAAGGACAGAGAGGAGAGCCCACGGGCTACATCCGGGATGGCAGAGAGGTCAGGATCTCTGCCGTCCCCGTTCCCCACCCACCTCCCGGGCCTCAGTTTCTCCTTTTGGTAGCCTGGGGATAATGCCATGTGTGCTGCCCTCACCTGGGGAAGGAAGGATGGAGGATGAGAACTGTGCCCCAGGCACCGGAGGGAGCCAGGGTCTCGGAGCTCACGGGCGGGGGGCGGGGGGCAGGTGCAGATGTATGGAGGATGAGCAGGCAGATGGGTGGGATGGGGCAGGGAAGCTGGGGATGGGGGAGATGAGCTGATGGGAGAGGGAGGCATGCCACTGGTATGTGCACAGGGCTGGAAAGAGAGTCTTGTTCTGTCATCATCCCCTGAACCAGTCCCCAAGAGTCACGCACCAACCGTGCTCAACAAACACACGGAGAGAAGAGGAGAAAACGGCAAGAGGAAGTGTGGAGGTCCCTGTCTGGCCCAGACAGAAGACAGTCACCTTGATTTGGACCCCCATTTTCAAGTCCCCTTAAGTTTTCTTTTTCTTTTTCTTTTTTTTTTTTAAACAAAATTCAGCATCAGTGACATTGTTTCCTTTGGCACTGACTTCCAGGAAAACCAGAGGGTTACGGAGTGTGCCTGCCTGCTTTTCAACACTCCCTGGGGGGCTCTGAACCAATACACAGCAACAAGTGTAAGAAAACCAGGAAGGAAAACTGAGTTTTATAGAAACTGGAATGAAACTGACCAGTGTAGTTTCATTGTCCAAGCTAAGCGGAAATGCAAAAAAATCAAAATAAAAAGTAAACAAACAGCACAAATGGTAGACGTGAGTCCCGTTCCCTAAATCCTTTCCTTTTTACTCCATTCCGGTGTTATCAGAAACCCCAAGAGGCCTGCCCCCCCTTCCCACCCAAATTCCCACCCTCAGAATGGCCTCTGGGCTCTGCCCGGCCCCCTCCCCCTGCCCTTCTCCAGCACATCTCCAAGGACTGCAGGCCCAGCCAGGGATGTCCCTCTCCCTCGCATGTGACAGAAGGGTTCAGGGAAGAGGGCTATGGAGCCTTGACTAGGGCTGACCCAGGGGGCAAGGATGGGGAAGTAGTGGTTCTGGGCGCCAATTTCACCTTTGGAACCCGGCTGCCCTGGGTAGGGGGAGGAAACAGGGCACCCTCATGTTCACAAGGGCTCAGGCCCCTCTCCCTGCTCCTTTCAAATGTATCAGGGCTTATCCTGGCTCCTAGGGGCACAGTCATGTCGGTAGGTTCCCCCCGCCCATCCCGGGGAGCCATTGCCTCATCCTTCCCTTTCTTACACTGCACTCCATCCTGGAACCCGGGTTCTGGGGACCTACTTTGTCCTTGTGCCTGTCTTGGGGTGCAGAGCCTTCCCTGCCTGCAGCCAGGGCTAAGTTCAGTGACAGAGCTGGATTCTTGGGAGGGTCAGGGGTCCAAGGGACTAGGGAAGAGGAGAGGTCTGGTGTGGTAGAGGGGAAGGGGATTCAGGGCTGGGACTTCTCTGTGAGGCATGCTGAGATCTTTGAGCATCTCTGTAGGTCTGTTCCAAAGAGCTCAGAGCATTTGCAAGGCTGCGATGTTTCCCTGGGCCCGGACTGCTATCATGGCTGCCTCTCAGAGGCCCAGACCAGGCCTTGGACTTCCCTGGAGAACCTTCTGTTGCTCTTGGAACTTTCCTGAGGGGTTCAGGAGGAAGGAGGGTGGGAAGGGGGTGACAGCAGGCGAAGGGTGGGACCATGGAGGAAGCCAGCTGGGGCCACCGCTCTGTCTGGTAGGGCCACCACGCTCCCTTGACCCATGGGAGACTGGGAGGAGACAGGGATACTGGGACCCTATCACTTGCGGAGAGTTCTTTAAAAATCCCAGCCTCCTCTCCAGGGTCACACTCTTAGAAAGGCCGAGCCAGTGAGGAGTGCAAGATCTGGCTGGCCTGGGTAGCCAGAGGTAGGAGAGCCTGGAGTTCTATCAGGAGGTCAACACCCTCTTTCTGAACTAGCAACGCTCTGGTGGCCTTTGTCCAGATGCCATGGGAATGGGACAGCTTTGGCACCTAGTCTGGGGCCCTTGGCACGGGCTGCTTTGAGAAGTTCCAGTTGTTGACTAGATCCCTGTTCCTATTCCTCCTGAAGATCCGGCCAGAGCTGCACTCACTCCATTTGTGTCCCTCTCTACACACGGGCAGGAGGATCACCAGAAGAGCCGCTGGGACTGGAAAAGTCCTTTCTGGTGGCCTCATTCAGGCTTATCCTGAGTGCCGCAGTCTGGATAGCGGGGTTCTAAGCTCCTTGGAGCTCCTGCTGGCGCCACCCTCCTTGGGTCACTCTCATAGTGGTGTCCTTGCTGACGTCCCCACCTTCCATAGAGAGGGACTGGGGTTAAAGCAATGCTCGGGGCAGAACTGGCCACTGGGCGTCACCAGGGCAGGGCGAGCAGCCAGAGCTGAGGCCAGCACTGGGCTCTGGGTAAACCCTGTTTCCCCGCTAGACGAGAGTGGGATCAGCAGGTGCCGAGGACTCTGCAGCCTGGGTCCCGCCTTGCTCTCCCAGGATTCTTTCTAGTGAAAAAGATGCAGCCAGGACATGCTCACCCAGGACAAATTTGGAGAGTTGCTTAGAGGATGGGGAAGAAAGACAGAACAGTGGAGAGAAGAGGAGAGGACAGGAAGGAGAGAGAGGGAGAGAGAGAGAGAGAGAGAGAGAGAGAGAGAGAAAGAGAGCCTTAGATGGTTATTCCCACCTCCCTGCAGGGCGGTAAGAGATGGACATCGGGAGAGAGGGTGACAAGAGCCTAGAAAACTGGGTCTGCAGGAGTCCACACCCCCTTACAACTTACATATCTTTAGAGTCCAGAAAGGACTAGAAAGTGGACAAACCACCCTGTCTGTGCCCCTTGGGGATCACTTCCAAGTAGTTTGAAGCTCACTTTTTTTCCCTAGAGCCCTCCACTTCTGCCCCAACATCTCCTCCCCTGCTCTCGGCCTTGAGCCCACCCCCGCCGGTCACTTACTTGCAGGAGAGCTGGTTGATGCCCTCGATGTAGTAGCACACGCCTCCATTCACACAGTAGGACTTGGCCGTCTCGTTGCACTTCCGGGCATGCCCCGACCATGATGACAGAGTGGTGCTCACTGGAGGTACGAGAGACACGTGCTAGTGACCCAGTGAGACCCCCTCTGGGCCCAGGGGCCACTTCCTTCACCTTCTTTCATGTTCCCATCTCAAAACTGGAAGGCCACTAGGAAGGATCTGCAGGAGTGCCTGGGTAGGGAAGGTCTAAGGGGATCTTTTGGTGGGCAACAAGGTGAATGGGAAGCCACAATGGACCGTCCGCCCAGCGTGGCTCTGCATTCACACTCTTGGAAATCCTACAAAAGCCAGGGTTTTTTTTCCCACTGTTTTGGAAAAGAACAGGAAGAGCTTCTCCATTGGTGGAAGGCCTGACCTCTGCTCCGCTCCTGTCTCCCTCCTGGGGGGCTCCACTACAGCACTAGATGTTGATGTGGGAAATGGCTTGGGGTGCAGGGGGAGAGCCTGTATCCATCTGCACTGCTCAGATTCTTATTGTGGACCAGGGGACTCAGGGAAATGACACCTTTCAGATACTGTCATTTTCTGAGCTTTGAGAAAGTGTGTGTGTGTGTGGGGGGGGTGGGGGCTTGGGCTTCCAGTCTCTTCCTTCTTGTCCGCAGGCCTGGGATGTTACGAAAGCTGCCATGTCTTGTTTCTAGAAGTGTTCAGTGTCTCCTTCATGTCCCCCGACCAGACAGCTACCTCCTTGTCAGCTGTTGCCTGTGGAGGGAGCCTTCAGACCTTTCACAGCCTAAGCTACAAATCATGAACTTCAGGAGGAGATGTAGCTGGGAGAGGGACGGAGGGAAGTGGGGTGGGGGAGGCAGGGAACAGTTGGGATGTGAAAGCCAGGTGCGAAAAAGGCTGGGCTCTCAGGTTGCTAACCCAGGCCACACATCTGATTGATCGGGCTTGTCTGAAACAATGAAAATCGTGGATGCTCTGCTCCCTTACCAGGGGACAGCGTTCAGAAAGGTGGCTTTAAATGCACCTCTGCACCGGACCGCCGCTGCACAGCGGTGCAGACTGAGGTGTTCCACTCTACCTTGGCTACCCTTATCTCCCCTGGGGTGGCAGCCTCCATCGCTCCCTCCAGCAATGGGGAGGAGGTGAGAGGAGGAGGAGGAGGATGGAGCAGGCAGGCGCTTGGCACCCTCAGTGTTTAGACATGTAGGGAGACAGATGGAGCGTGGGGGACTGGAGTGTACACACAGCGCTGCCTCTGTATATGTCTGAAGGAGCTCACAGATAAAACTCAGCGGGGAAGGCCAGCTCCTGCCTTCCCCTCCACCCCATGCCTGTTGCCGAGCTGGCATCTCAGGCCCCACCCTCCCCCGCTGCTGAGGTCTCCTCTAGGGCTCCACCACAAACCCAGCTGGGACCCACATGCTGGCCCGAGAGAGGAAGCTTTGAACTGGTGTTTGCTCCGATTCTGGGTCACAGAGACCCAGGAAAACTAAGAAAGGGACAGAGGAGAGACACAAGCATGGGGACCACGTCTGCAAGTTATAAAGTCCAACACTGGGCAGGTCCTAGAGGTTGTCCTGCCCTTGGGTCACACCTCCAAGGAGGAGCGAGGAAAGAGAGGGGCCGAGGGTCTCTCTAGAGCTGCAGCTGTGCGTTCCTGCTAGATACCCTGTGCCTTGTGAAAGAGCATGTCAGCGCCGAGGCTTGACGTGAGCAGATGAATGTGGACCACAGCCTGGGGCCTCCCGGGGGCCTTGGCTAAGCCAGAGGAATCTTGGCCTGGATCTGCCAGGCCCAGCACGGCTCCTCTGCTGCAATGGTGGCAGAGACCTCCTGCTGTTGGTCTTCACTGTTGTTCTGTGAAGCTGACTGGGCGGCGTTGGACAGCAGCGAGGCTGCTGGGGTGGCGGGGACCACAGAAGAGAGATGGACCGCCACTTGTGGTGCCCTGAGCATGGGTTGCCAATACCATGCCATGGGGCTGATGCCAGGTCTCCAGAAAGGCTAAAGGGAGGGTCGTCGGGGAGCTAGTCATAGGGGTGTCAGGGAATGGTGGCCACAGGCCTTCCCACCTCCTCTGTCATGGTAAGACCTTCCCAAGCCACTTTAGCATAGCTGTCCCGGTAGGTCCCGAGGCAACATGTTCTTAGCCTTGTCAACACACATCTGTATTTTGCCACTGGTCTTTGGTATCTGGAGAGGCAAAGGATTCTGAGTGAGAAGGCTGCTCTCTTGGCCTCTCCACTGGGAGGGCTCACAGCAACCCCAAATCCAGTATGTCCAAACTGGCCTCCCAGTTACCCATCTCTTCCCTACGCCTGGGAGCCCCAAGGTCCTAAAGAGTATCTTTTATTTTTATTTTTTCTTTTTATTTTTTTTATTTTATATTTTTTATTTTTTCTTTTTATATCCTCAAGGACGGACGCTTCCACCGCCTCAAGAGGCTCCATTCACGCCTCCTACTTCCTCCCCTGGTCCAGGTCACTGTCCCATCTTCCTTGGGTGACCTGCTTGCTGGTCCTCCTGCCTCACACTTGGCTTCACTCTGGCTGCCACAGTGGTCTTTAGAATATGGAAATGGTGTCAATCCCTTTCATGATCAAGGTTCGTTAGTGGTGTCCCTTTGTAGTCAGAACAAAGCCCTCCCACCCTTCATTAGGTCTTATCTGGGCCTCATCGCAGCATTTCCCTCCCTTTTATCCTGGCCTCTCAATATATTCTGACTACACTCATTTCAGCTTTTCTAACCAGCCGGGTGCCCTGCTGCCCAGGACCCCTCAGTGTCTCCATGCAACCTTTCCCAGGTTCTCAAGATGGCTACAAGCCCCACGTTCTTTATGTTCATCTCACAAGCTTTTGCTAGTAGTATTTATTCTAAACTGATTAAGGAGCCAGGTATTCTATCACTAGCTCCGTCACTAGAACCCCAGCTCCTCTGGGGCATAGCCACACCTGTCATGCTTCACTAAAACCCCAACATCCAGCCAAATGCTCGACACAGAATAGGTGCTTAATTAACACTTGTCCACAGAGTGAGCAAACCCATATCTGATTCTTGAGGGGAAAGTGCCCTCTGCTGCTTCCCTGAGCATGGTCTAGTGTCCTTAGCCTGGGCATCCATACCTTTTCTCCTCTCACTAGCAAATAATGCAGAGAAGTCGTTAGGGAGGTGAAGTCGAAACCACGGGGAGCTACTGCTTCATGCCTGCTAGAATGGCTAGGATGGTAGAACTGGAAAAGAGCAAGTGGTGGAGAGGCTATGGAGGGACCAGACCCCTGGGCCACACCTGCTGTCAATGAACGGTGATGTGCTTGCTTAGACATCTAGTCTGGGAGGCTTGTTTGTTTGTTTGTTTTTGAGACAGGGTTTCTCTGTGTACCCCTGACTGTCCTGGAACTTGCTCTGTAGACCATACTGGCCTCGAACTTATAGAGATCCGCCTGCCTCTGCCTCCTGAGTGCTGGGATTAAAGGCATGTGCCAACACCTCCTGACCTCTGGGAGCTCTTTAAGAAAAGAAAAAATTTAAAATCCTCAGAGTTAACTTACACTCAAGAAATTCCACTCCTGGGTGTATCCTCAAGACTGAAAACCTGTGTGCTCACAACCACCTGAACATGAATGTCTGCAGAAACATTATTCATCAGCCCAAATGTGGAAGCGATCCAAATGATTCAACAATTCAAACTGTTGGATGTATTCAAAATGGATGAATAAAATGTAGTATTCACACACTAGAATAGTATTTCACCATAAAAGGAATGCGCCCATATATGGTACGACATGGATGGGCCTTAAGATATGTTAAGGCCACTTATTATATGGGTATATTTATACAAAACATCTACTATAAATTAATCCACGGGGCAGAGAGCAAGAACAGAGTTGTGGGGTTGGAGGGGGAAGTGGGGAGTGACTGCTAAATACACATGCAGTTTTTGAGGTGATGATGAAATGTTCAGAATTAGTGGGGATAGTTACATAAGTCGGTGACTATACCGAACGCCACTGAATCATACTCCAAAAGGACAAATTTTATGGTATGCAAATTATATCTAAAAAAATTAATTAAAACCATGCCCAGAAGGGGAAAGGCCAGGAAGCAGTTGCCATGAGTGTCTTGGTTCAAGCTGTCCCAGACCTTCAGAGGAAGATGAAATGGTACAGAGGCTGAGCGGGAACACTGAGTGTCTCTCTGATGTCCAGGATGCAGCTGCTCTCTCCTCTTTTCAGCAGGGACAAACTTCTGCCTCTCTTTAAGGTCCAGACCCATTGCCTTGAGCTGTTCAGCTCCTGCCTTGCTGTGCAAACGGCTCCTTTTCGGTTGGCCCAGAGGCCCATCCTCCCCCTACTTTGTTGGGAGAGGTGCACACTTTCAGGCCTAGGATTTTACCTTCTTTTCATTTGAGGGTCTGTGATAACCAAGGCAGTGCCTTTCTGGAACTCAGCGGGGTCGTACCGAATACAACTGATGTCAGGATACCTGTGCATGTGTGCATGGGTAGACGTGTTCAACCAGCTACCCCCTTGCCCAGAGGCCTTTGCCACATGTCTGCAGTCCTGTAAGACCTGCCTGCCCCGTGCTTGGTATCCTGGGACAGTCTGGAGTTCCCTTTCACTTGGGGCAGGCTTCTGAAGGCAAAAGAGGATTGCACTACGCAGACTGTTTTGTTCCAAGTTCTGTCTCTGTCTGCAGACTCCTCTTCCCTGTCAGCCCAGGGACGATGGAAGCTCCCATGAGACCCAGAGCTGTCACTTCCGGAGGGACAGCTCTGATCTGGGAAAGAGGACTGTGGCTCCACCCTAATGGAGAGGTAGGTAGCCATCCAAGAGTAGGATGATGCCCTTTGAGGCCCTACTCCTGTGGCCCTACTCCCCTGGGGCCTGGGCGGGGCCCCACCAACCCACCTCTGGATGAGTCATTGGGGGCAGGCTCAGCTGCCCGCTGCCCGCCCTCCACCCCCTCCTCAGGGTGTGGTTGCTGCAGGTCTGCTGGCTTTCGCTGGTAAACACGAAATCCATGCATCTCTGCTTGGAAAAACAGCCATGACCACGTCTCTACATCAAGAGTAGTCTCACCTGCTGTGGACTGGACAGGGCTGCCAAAGCAAAGAGATGTGTGCGGTGTGTGCAGTGTGTGTGTGTGCAGTGTGTGTGTAGTGTGTGTGTAGTGTGTGTGAGGATGTATGTGTGTGTGTGTGAGGATGCATGTGTGTGTGTGTATGTGTATGAGGATGCATGTGTATGTGTGTGTGTGTGTGCAGTGTGTGTGTGAGGATGCATGTGTGTGTATGCATGTGTGTGTGTATGCATGTGTGTGAGGATGCATGTGTGTGTGTGCAGTGTGTGTGAAGATGGATG